CGTTATGTCATCAGAATAAACTCCATACACGCCAATATTGATACACACATATCTGGCACAAACAAATGTTTATCTGTTCATCGGAGTGTGTAACGAGTAACACTCGTATGTTGAAGAGAGCATGTGTAGAGCGGAGAGTGCGTGAGTGTGGGTGGAATGTGGAGAAATGTCTCAATGCATTTACAAGATAATTAGCTCTAGAATGGCTCAAAGGATGAAGCGTATGTAGATGTTGTTGTGGCTATAAACTGATATACACACATGCATAGATACACATATATGGTGAAGTTGAAAGGATTTCATGTGCGACTAGTAATGGTCGCTTGCCTTTATAGCTTGAAGAATTCTGCAGCGTAAATGATATAAATGATAGATTTGAGGCATATCGGTTTGCTGTTTGTTTACGTATTCATTAACTATAAGTAGATTTTGCTCCATCCGAGTCTGTTTAACTTGTCATGTGAAGAAGCTAGTCAAGTGCTTTATTTAAATACGATATAATTTTTTATAGGCATATTAAAGCAATACGGGGAAGTCACATAAGATTTTCATATTTGTATGCCTGAACAGGGTCAGTTTGTCGCGAAGTTTGTAGAAATCTAAAGGAAAAGTCGGAGACCTTATAAAATATATATAAATGATCGGCATGTTGAGCTGAGTCGATTTACCTATGTCCATCCTTCTGTCCATCTGCCTGTAAATACGCGAACTAGTTTTCAGTTTTTGAGATATCGATCTGAATTTTGCAAATGTCCTTTCCTCGTCACGAAGTTGCTCACTTGCCGGCACTGCCGATATCGGATCTCTGTAGCATATAGCTACCATACAAACTTATCGATCAACTCAAGTCGTTGTATCGTAGCTTGTTTAAAATGTTCACTAAAAAAAGTTGCAAATTAAAAAAAAGTATGTATAATGTATATCTATCGTAAAATAACAGTGGAAGAATTTTCAAAAAGTAAATGCTAAAAAACTTTCCAAATATTTCAAAAAAAAAAATTTTAAATATACTACATTTAAAATTTTGGTTCTTTAAATATGCTGATTTATCCAAATAATAATTTCCAGTAATGTGAACCGTTTGGTTTTCAATTTGTGCTATAGAAAACTATTAGTTAAATGTAAATATAAGATTAATATTGTACCACCACAGCGTATACGTAACCTATGTTCCCTATGCAGATAAAATTCAGTGTAAATCGCGAATGTTGTTAAAAGCAGGCGTTTCAAATGTTTAAGTATTTAATAAGCTGAACCAGTGTTTAAGCAACACACTTATATACCCACACATACGCACATTATCATGTCAACTCTTCCTCTGCCATGTCAAGGACACCATTTGTTTCTAATCACCTAATATTTCATGTACTCAAACACTCTCAAACATACACTCACATGTAGTTCCCATTTACATATTTGCTCCATTGCTTTGTGTTAATCTGCCAATTTAATGCAACTGGCGTGTGATTCATAGCCAACTATTATCGGCATAATTGCTAATAATTGTCTAGCCAGCGCGAAAGCTGAGCTCAGCGTAGCGTCAATCAGCGCATAAGCTCAAAATAATAATTACAGGCATGAGCGGACATGAATTCAAATCCATTTAGCTTATAAAACAGATTGTATATATATAAATATTGCAATGGATTGAATGAAATATTCCCTAATGAAATATAATTAAATTAAATATAAACGAAAATGTCAATTTGTGAGCAAACATAACGAAATGATATTGAATGGTTGAATTAGCGGCAGCGGTTATGCGGTATGTGGGCGCACTAATGCCGTTATGAAGTCGCTTTGCTAAAATTTCATTCTGTAATGCAAGTAAATAGTGGACAATTAGTTTTAATTAAGCGGATTTTGAAAAGAAAATTTTTTTTTTATAAAAAATAAAAAATTAAGGGAATAAATATATTTTCTCACTTGTATTTACTGTCAATTGTCTTCAATTTAAGCTAAATTGAAGTCAATTAATGAATTGAAATGCAATTTATTTAATTTATTTGCACTCTAATAAATGGAAATCAGCGAACTATTTCTTTTAAAATGTATTTCCGATTACTTTTAATTTATTTCAATTTGATTAATTATATTAGGCCTAATTTAGTTACACTTAATTAATAAAGATTAAAACTGCTAAAAACTTTAAATAAATTTCTTAAATTGAATTCAATAAAAATCTATGAATTAAAGACCAGTAAATTTTATTTGGGTTAATTAACTGGTAATTCTCTTGACACTAGCAATTCATATACAATGCATTAAGTTAATTAATTGATATAATTTAGGTAAATTTTTCTATTTAGCATCAGTACGTATATATACAATAAAATGCAATACGTTGTAATTTCATAAATTGTTGTGTAAAAATAACTTAATTGACTAAAATAATAAAATTTCCCTCTATCAGTCTACTTTAAGTCATTGCAATTAAATTTTTTTGTTACTATAAATTTAATTACAGATAATTAAGTTTAATTTCCTTAAGTGTAAAATTAATCATCTTAGCAATTACTAATAATTATAATTACGGTTACTGTAGTCAATTACTTGATATAATGAAGTTAGATTTAATGTTTTAAGCTTACTGGAATATATCTAAAATGTTCAAGATCTCATTCATTAATTATTTTAATTAATTGAATAAAAGTAACATTAAATTATGTAATTAAAACAAATTATTAATTAAATTAAGTATCACATTTAGCAATTAAGGGGAGTTGATGATTTCATTTTATGTAACTTTATTTTAATTTCGTTATATTTAATTTAGTTTTCTTATTTATTTATTAATTTAATATAACTTGTTTTAACTTATATTTTATTTGATTGAACATATTTTAATTTAATTTACTCTAATTTATGCAATTCAATATGACTTAACTTATTATAATTTGTTAATTGAATTTAATTCCTTTTAATTTATTTAATGTATGTGCTTTAGTTAACTTAACATTACTTAAGATAAATTTAAGTCTTACATTAATTTAAATTAATTATTATAATTTTATTTAATTTAGCGAATATAATTAATATAACTTAATTAATAAAGGTTAATTTAACATATTTTATTTCATTTAATTTAATTTAGATTCATTTAATTGAATTTGAATTCACATTATTTAGTTTAATTTATTAAATTAAATTTAATTTATTTAGTTAAATTTGTTAAATTTAATTTCTTATAATTTCTTATACTCTTGCAATATGTTGCTATTAACCAAAACAGTTTTGTTCACCTAACGGTTGTTTGTATCATCTACAATTATTCGAGATAGATATAGGGTTATGCATATATTAATGATCAGAATGATGAGACGAGTTGAAATTCGAGTGACTGTCTGTCCGTCTGTTCGTTCGTCCGTCCATGCAAGCAATAACTTGAGTAAAAAAGCCGATATCTTGATTAAGCTGGGTACATATATTCCTTGGCACCCAAGGAGGGTTGGTGCTGCAGATCGGCGGGATCGGAGCATCGCCACGCCACAAAATGACATAAATCGAAGACCTATAAACGACTTAGCCATGTGCCTTAATAGGTTTAATGCATATGTCTCGCAAATCACTTAAGCTACATGAACGAAACTTGCTCCGAACACATTTTTTTTCCAGCGTCCCTTTCGAATGTGTAAAAGTTGTTGAAATCGGATTATACCTCCGCCCACTACCATATAGCGGTTCTGATGAATACTACTAAAAGTGCGATAACTCAATAAATAAAGGCGTCAGAGACACTTAATTTTTCACCCAAGATGATACAAAGAAGTGTTATAGGAGACGGTGTCAAAATTGGTAAATGGGCGTGGCACTGCTCATATTTATTAACATATAAGTATAAGTATATCATAACATTGTCATGAGCATCCTATGTCACAGTGCGAAAATGGCCGCAATCGGCCTACAGCCACGCCTACTTCCCGTATAGCACAATTTTAAATTCCATCTGATGCTTTCACTTTCCCATATGCCAATCAAGCACCAATGAATATATTGAAGCAAAACTTTTCACAAAAAGTGCCTTTGGGATGTGCCACGTGATGCGCAGAAATTGTCAAAATTAAATGCCAACAAGTCAAGCCCCTAGATATCGAATTTGGGGACCCCAGTTTCTAATGCGAACTTTTTATCGAAAATATTGGTAAATCTGTGAGAAATGTTATTGAAATTCGGCGCAACCGCTTTCCTGATAATAATTTGCTTGTATATCAAAAATTGGTAACTAACAGAAAGATTTTCGAACTTTCGGCTGACTTTATACCGCATATACCATCCAATATGCAAGCAATTTTAATCAAATTGAGTGAGCGTGTTTTTCTAATAACGGTGCATCGGTGTGCCTAAACTAGACAAAACTTGCCCCTAATATCAGATTTTTGCAAAATTCGGTTGATTTTACTTCTTATATGTATTGGCGGTATGTGAGGTACCGAATGAAGCTCATTCTTTCTCATTTATTCCATTAGCAATATGAAGTAATGCCAAAGAGATTTTCTCGAGTATACCTGAGCAATGTCAAAGGTTAATGCAAGCTTAGACCTTGTTCTGCTCCCAATATACCCTATATCGTGATTTTCCACTTTCCAGCTGACTATAAGCCGTTTAGGTTAGTCAAAATGTGTGATACTATAAAGGAATTAAGTGCAAAAGTTTTCTTGAAAATTATATTAATAGCTAAGCGCTAAATCTGTTAGGATTTGGTGTAAACCTTGCTATAAACCTCATAACACAATATAATGAATTCCCATCCTCTGGTTGACGCTTTCCACTTCATCTTAATATATTAAATTTGGCTTCTTTGGTTGAGTTTATATCACATATATCTGATTTGAAAATGATTTTAATATAATTTTAGTTGATACGAATAAAACCAAGTGCGTCTATGATCCGTAACATAACTTAATAAAATACCAAATTTTATTGTAATCTGTTCAAAATTTTGTCAATTAATGAATGTCGAATTCTTACGCAATATTTTTTTACATAAAGTTTTGCCGCACCTCAAGTTTTTTCCCCGGCTTTGATCCATGCAAGTTGCAAGAGTATAAAAAGTTTGGTTACACCGGAACTCAGCTCTTCCTTACTTGCTTAATTTAATTTATTTAATTGAACTATTTCTTTGGTTTACTTTATTTTAACCTAACTTTTAATTTAATTAATTTTTTTTATTTATTTTACTTCAATTTAATTAAATTCTTACTACATTGATTCAAGTCAATCAATTCAAATCAACCAATTTAAATTCAGTGTATTGAACTCGGAAAGTAATTCTGTCCATTTTACTGCTAAATAAATCACGTTACCAAATTATATAATAAACAAAATCGTAACTAACAAATTCACAGACATATGCATGTTATTGTACAGTTATACATATTAATTAGTGATTTTACACATTTTGCGTCTGGTTTTGACATTTGATGTTGAGCTGTTGACTTTGTTCGGTGTTTGAGTAATTCTGCCTCAGTTTTGTTTGTGGTCACAGTTGTTGTTTTCTAAAATATATACAAATATATTTGATATTATTGATTGTTATTGCATTTTAACCATATATTAATTGAGTTGTCAATAATCGGAAACCTAAAGAATTATGTAATAAGATTCATTGGCTTATGAAATTGCTTTGTCTCCACTTACATAGGTATTATTGTAACAGATTAGACATTTAAATGAGAGTTGAGTAATTCAGGTGCTTGTTGTACACAACTAACTAATGAGTTTATATGCTAATTGTATTGGAAAGTTAAAGTAATTTGTTGATTTATAAGTTTTGATTGCAACAATGTTTTACAGAAGTGGTGTACGATATACACTTGGGAATTTTGGTAAATAATTTTTCGTCAATATGTTAAAGAAACCTGGTTCATATAACGATTTGTTTTTATATTTGTTTCTCTAATATCTTTTTCTATCTAAATCTTCATGTATATTTACTATTATATTTCCATTCCTGTCTTCATTTTCATTCATATTATTCGCTCTATTCTATCTCTGTCTGTGATTATTTCTCAATTTCTATCTCTATCGCTTTCTCTACCTTTGGCTCTATTTATCTCTCTATCTTTGCTTTATCCATTTCTCTGTCTCAATTTCTACTTTTGTATCTTTCTCTATCTCTATCTCTGTCTTTATCTGAATCCTTATCTCTATCTCTCTCACTATCACTATCACTATCTCGTTTGCTATATCCATCTATCTCTCTCTCTCTCTCTTTCTTTCTATTTCTGTCCTTGTATCGGCCTATATTTCTATATGTAAAAGAGTAGAAGTCTCCTTTAAGAGGTTTTAATTATATTCTTACTAATTTTTAGCTCAGCATCTAAGATTTGTTTATAAGATGGGGAATCCTGTAATATTTGTTAATCAAAAGGTTTAAATCTATACGCGTGATGTTTTGCTCCAAGGCCAGAATCGAAGCGGAATTGTAAAAATAGAGTTTAGACTTTACCATATTCTAAAAAAGTCTAACGGTGTGATATCACACGATCGTAGTGACCAATCGACCGGCCCAAAACGTGAAAGTATTCTCTCAATAAATCCGGTGGTTGATGCGATGTATGGGAAGTGGCGCCGGTTAATTGAAACCAGAGATCACGAGCTTTAACCAAACTTTTTTTGAATGAATTGGCAGCTCTTGAATCTCTTCAGGTTGCTCTTCGTCCCAAATGCGGCAATTTTGTTTGTTTAGATACCCATTGAGCCAGAAATGGGTCTCATCGCTGAACAAAATTTGGCTCGAAAACATCGGATTTTTTGAAACTTTTCAAGAGCCCATAGCGCGAAGCGATGTCGCTTGGGAAGGTAGAGCGGCTTTAGTTCTTGCACAACCTGTATTTTGTACATTTTCGATTCATGCAAAAAATATCAAGAATTCGCATTTGAAACATCAAAGTGAAATGAAATGCAAAACGAATGCGAATATACATTATGCTACATATGTACATATATGTAAATGAAATAAATTTACATTTTTTTTTGCATACACAAAAAACATTTGCATGCAGCTACTCCAGCTTTGGCAATCGTTCATAATTTATGAGACGGTGCAAAGGACTTTTGGCACATTGCAATAAAAAATATTTAACACACACATACACACAGGCTTGCTGACAAATCGCAACATTTGCTACTGGCGCTGCCAAACAAATTATAAATTCCGATACGCGCGTCGAAGAAGCGCGGCAAAAGGAAGAAAGCATGAAAAAGGAAAATGCAAACGGAAAAGTTCATTTATTTACGTGAATCCTGGCGTTCGCTTTGCTCTGCGCTGCTTTGCTTTGTTCACACACACACTCAAGTAACTGTATTTATTTGCATTTCGCTTGCCTCATTGTCGGTCGGTGTGCTTTGCTATGCTAATTCGCCTGCTTCTGTTCGCCTCAACTTTGGCAGGTATTTAGCTTCACATGTTTGTGTATGTGTGTGATATTTGTGGATCATTCGCGGCAATAATTTCTCTGCATTATTGCGCCAACAACAAACTATGTACTTCCGCCAGTCGTTCGCTTATTGCTGCACTTAAATTGAAAATGAATGAAATGAACAAATAATTATAAATATATTCTGCGTGACATTAAGATGCATATTTGTAAGTGCGTGCATTTGCTTAGTTGTGTGTGTGTATGTAAATATAGCTGCTTTGAATTCTCAATACGTTCGAATGGAATCTTATGCTACTAGGCCTTAGTCGCTGGCGAAAGTTTGAATAATTTGTAACTGCTCTTTTGTTTTTGAACTGAAACTGCTATTGCAAAAATCAATCTTCTGCAACGAAATTGGGTTACGCGACAAAATTTCGTCACGCTAGCAGTTTACAATATCCCACTATAGTGCTAGCTAAGACGATTTCGCTAACATTTTTAGTTTGGTGTATATAATATTCCGATATTTTGAGGCAAAAAAGTTATGAGGTTGCCATGTGTTTGCAAATTTTAGGTAAAAAAGTTTAAAAACTAAAAAGCTTTGTATAATAGTATGGATGATATTATAGATTTTAAGAAATCTAACATTTAACTAAAAATATTTTTGCAAAGAATGCCACCTGTTTATAATTTTTAAAAGTGAAAAAAAATACGAATTTTATTATAAAGAAGCAAGAATTTATAATGAGAATGTGTTTTTAGAGAGAGTTTCCACCTGCTTGAAATTTTTAAGTTCAAAAGAGCTTAAGTTGCGCCGATAGCATACATACCTAACCCCACCACAGGGCACGCTAAACCGATTGCACATGTTTAGATTAGTGTATATAATACTCGGTTATTGTGCATCAAGGAAGTTAGAATGTTGTCACCTTTTTTTAAATTTTAAGTAAACAAAAAATATAAAAGCTAAACAATTTTGCACAATTATATGGGTAACACTAAAGATTTTAAGACATCTTTCTATAGCGTGAAAAATATTTTGGTTAAGAATGCCACCTTTTGAAAAATTTTAGCGAAATAGCCTTATGAGTCAAGGAATACAACAATATGAAGTTTACTATATATTAATACAAGTTTGAAATTTTTGAAATATAAAAAATTTAAATTTTAAATTAAAAATGTTTAGGAGATTTTTTGGTTGATAGTATGTTTTAAATAGCGTTGCCAACTGTAAACAAAAAAAAATTATATGATAAATAAGGTCTCTAAATGGTGTAGTAAATTAAACAAGGGAAGGCTAAGTTCTAACCGAACATACTCTTGTAACTTCACTGATGTTTGATTTGTATACTGGAAAGTGAAATAATTAGATGGAGTTTAATAGTTTGTCATATGGGAATGAGACGTTGTTCTCATCTGATTTCGCCCATTTTAACAGTGTCTAATAGGTACGCTTGGGTAACCTCACATACTAAATTTGATGGTTCCTGAGATATAGAATTTCACCGAGAGGTAGGCGGTGCCATGCCAATTATCCAATTTTTTCAAATGATCTCGTAAAGTTCTTCTTCACCATCTTGGTTGTGAAATTTGATGTTTATGGCGCATTTAGTAATTTTCAAAATAACCGTTATATGGTTACTATCGTATTTTTTACAGGGTTGCCATCTGTTTGGAAATTTTGATTAGCAAAAACAGTTTAAAGAAAGCTCCTACAGTTACACGCAATTCAATTAAATACAGATCAATTAATTGTTATTACATAGTTATCAAATTAAAAGGATCGAAACCATATTTTTCGACTTGAAAGTATTTTTACTTTCATACCGTAAACAGGGCATATTAAGTTTGAAACGAAGTTTGTAACACTCATAAGGAAACGTCGGCGATCCTATAAATAATACAAATGGCAATGATCAAAATGACGAGCTGAGTCGATTTAGCTATGTATATGTGAAGGGTCTTCGGTGCCATCGAAGTTATCGTTAAGTTACTTTTAATTGCGTTAATAAGGTTTATGTTGATTTACAATGAAATTTTTAAAATTAGTGTTGCCACTTGTTTAAATATTATTGATTTATATTTGTAGGAAATATTTTTGATTAGATATGAATATTGAAATATCGCTGCTAAATGAAATGCATTTGAGAAATACTTGATGTTTTGGAGTTTAAAAAAAATACCAAGTGGCAACCCTTCCAAAAATATTTTTAACTGAATTTATTCACTTATAAAATTATATTGTAATAATTTGTTTAATTTGAAAAACTATTTCAATAACATTTTTGTAACAGGTGGCAACCCTTTAAAAAAGTTTTTTTTGTGAAATTTAAATGCATTGTGTTTGCACTTTTTAAAGAGCTCTTACAAATCTAATGTTATTTATTTTCTTTATAATAACAGCTGTCAGATAAAATTCATCACATTCTCTCCATTGCTCAACCATAGCTTCATAAATAACCGAATTTTATCTCTCTACCTGTTATGTATAGCTATTGAAGCGATAAGGCGGTTTAAATATAATTACTCACTTTCACTCTGATTACTCACTATCCTGCTGTCTTGGCTGTCTCAATTAGGCAGATCCTGCCATCATAAAATATTGATTCGTATCTATCGTTGTGCACTGCTGCATTGTATTTTGGTATGGAATTTGTTGTAGCGCCGGAATAGATTTTGTGCCTGATTTATTTAGGCTTATACAAGCATTTGGGCTTATATCTGCATATATGTGTGTAAATATATATGTTTGTATATGTATGAGCATATGTGTTTGTGCAAGTCGGATTAAGCCGCTGACACGGCTAAGCCAATGGAATTTATGAATTTCCGTTTCCGTCTTTTCACCGAAAGTGCACATACGAGATTTGAAAAAGGCTTATTTCTAATGTATATATGTATATATATACATATGTGAAAGTATATATTTACATACATTCAACTGTGTCTCGAATTTGTTTGTAGTGTTTTATGCCTTTGTGATTTGTGTTTATTGAATTATTCAAAAAACAAATGTGCTTGACTTCAATGTCGCCACAGATTGCCTTCATTGGGTTTCACACATACCTACACGCATATATAATACTACGAGTATACCTAAACCCATACAAACACACTCACACACACACATGCTTATGTCTACTGTATCAAAAGCTATAACATAACTCACTTTTTCCTAAGCACTTTCTATTTCTGTTTGTATAGCGGTACTTTGTTCCAAGATAAGCTTTTGTCTCTTCCGCTCTCCGTCCGACATGAAATCGCATAAAATTGCTTGTGCAGCAATTTGATTTATTTGCTTTACCATTTATGTCCTTTATTGTTTGAGCACATGTATATTTATACGCGCGTAATCGCAGACAAGTTATAGCTCATAATTCTTCGTGTGCTCATATTGACATATTGACAAAAATAAATACGCGCACACAACAGCTTAATATAACGACTATACTTGTACCTATATACTTGTAGTACCCACCTATATCTATTGCATATGCATATATTATATTATAGTTGAGTGTTTCGCGGAATTGGAGCCTAACTGCATTAAGTGGAAGTGTTT